CGAAAGCTTATGCTCTAATAAATTTGTTAGTCTCTAAGGTGCCACAAGTACTCCTGTTCTCTTTTTTGCGGATACAGACTAACACGGCTGCTACTCTGAAATTAGTTGGTGTCTTTCCCCTCTTTCAGGAGTGTTTGGATAATCTTGGAAGAACACTTCCTGGGGTGGTTATTGTTGTTCTTTTTATTAAGCCTGGGTGGAGATTAATTTTACAGATTGGGGTTTAAGGCTGGGGGGAGGTTTAGAAGAAAATCCTTTTTTTCTCTCCGACTGACCGTGTAGTATGGAATTTGCTACAACAACCACTCAGTTTACTACACATATTTGTGTCTGAGCACCTGAATGTTCAGGTTTTGTCTGCCAAGCCCAAATCTTCAATGGATAGCTTCACAATCCTCTCTTAATAGGTCTACATTTACCTTTATTAAAATGTGCCGCTGGGGCGTGGAAAGACCCAACAATACGGTGTCAGACTATTCGGTGACAGCGTGAACTCAGCATGCTGTCTGCGGATACTTGGATGTATTGCTTTCTTGTCATCCTGGAGCACCGTACAGGTTGTATACATTTAGAACGTTAGCAGTGAAATATTTAACAAATGCTTGAGGCATTTGGCTTTTTAAAACAAAAAGCTGCCGTTTACACCTAACCTACGAATACTGCAATGTTGATTCATTTTTTGTTTGACTCTAAATCTATCTCTGTAAAACTACTTACGGATCAATGGACCCTGCTCTAGTGATCCTCCCGATAAAATAACGAGCTGCAGAAATAGCAGCAGCAACAATTCTGAAAGTTTGCAATTGTGTGTAAATGGCTGATTCAAACTGGCTGAGTGTTACAGCTCCCTGTTCTGTTAGGACAGCATCTGCCATGTCACCCTGGCCTTCCCTGGGGCCCTCATGTACTTCAAAAGTTACAGCTATTTTTTTCATAAGCCCGTTAACACGGTTTGATTTCAGTCTTCTTTACTCCAAAGAAAACAAACTCTGAGCTCAGTACAATCACTCCTTTCAGGAGGAGACATCTGTCCATTAGGGACACCTCTCCATATGGTGTCTGTTCAACCTCTCTCCTCCTCCTATGAGTGCCTGGGTGATTCCTCCTCTTGTGACCATATACCTGGAGTCACCTCCCCAATCCTGTATACCTTGCAACCCCATTCGCTGTTCTTCAAATCCCTCCTCCAAATGCACTTCTCTCACTCCAGCACAGACACATGGTCCCAGAAAAAACAAGTGACTTCACTTTTACTGTCTAAACCTCGCTTCTCTTCCTCACCCCAGCCCCTTACCGAACATCACAAGACACAGGAAGAGAAACTCCTCGTTCGTCTGTAAAGCATCAGGTACAGTGCTGTATAAATATTAACACATAGCCACCACAAGTGCTGCTAGTGATTGCTGTCCTACTGGTGATCCCTTCAGTGTAGGCATAAAGCATGCTGGGGGGAGGGGGAAAGAAAATGTGGGAGAAACTTGTGCTTCCTATTTTACCTGCCGCTCTCTCGTTTTCCCCTTCCTACTCCTGTTAACCCATCCTGGGTCTCCTCTCCCCAGAATCTGGCTGCTGTTGGTGTAGGAACCTTTTTTTTGCAGCTCTGGAAGAGGCTCCCATTATCCTTTCCCCTCCTCTGTTTGCTGGTTCAAATCGAATCTTATCCAAAAACAAATCGTGTCTTTCCCCTCTGTAATTTCTCTTGCCATTTGCTACCATTGATCTCTGTTGATGAGGTGTGTTGGGATAAGGTTTGTATGGAGGTTTGCTGTGCGCAATGAAGGTGCCTGGGGTAGCGACGGCTTGGAGCGTTCCTCTTTAAAGTAGTCTCATTGTCTCGTTATTTATATTATTGGAGTGCTGAGGACTCCCAGTCATGAACCGGGACTCCATTGCACTGGGAGCTGTACAAACACAGAACAAAAAGACGGGTCCTTGCCCCCAAAGAAACAAGATTCTTGTGTCCAAACCCAGCACCAAATTCACTCCAAAAGGCTAACATCCAAACCGTAGTGTAAACGTACACAACTTGAAGCAGCGCCACCAAGAAACTAGCTCTTTCTGCCCTTCTATTGGTTCAATATAGGATAGAGAAGAAAAGAGCTATTAGTCCTAATAGCCAAACCCCCTCTCACCCTCAGTCTGTGCTAAATTGTTCCCTGTGGTAGAATCTCTCGTGCTGTGTTCAGCCTGTGGCTCACGTGATGGGGTTTGCACCACGTTCCTGAGAAACCTTCACTGCATGTGTAGAAAAGAAGAGAGGAGGCCAATTTAATATCATACCAGTGAAGGAGCAGGGTAGTTAAGTGTATGAGAGAGATGGCTCGGGGCAAATTTACTCTGTGTGTTGTGTGTACACTGTGTGTGCTATATGGTTTCGTGGTGCTGGAGGGAGGACCATGACCTTGCCATGTAGTGTCAAGGCCAAGAAAGAGTATAACTTGTTGTTGTTGAGTGATGATTGTATTACTACCCCTGCAGGGGAAATTGCCTCCTATACAAACTCATTGGGACTCAAAGTAATCTTCCCTGATGGCCAGTAATGTTTTTAGGAAATGTTTATTGGGTGATGGGATGGAACAGGAGAGGCATTATGTGGTGGCAACTTGTCTGTGGGGGTGGAACAGCACAGGCAGAATCTGGTCAGATGCAGAGGGAGATGGGAACAGGACACAAGGGTACAGGTCAGGCAGGTCCTGGCCACATGTATGTGTAAGTGGACCAGGAGGGGCAGACCTGGCCTGGTGGGGTGTTGGAATTGCTCACTGGACAGAGGGGTTGCTGAAAGGGTCAGGTTAGAAATACAAATGTCAGAGCTTATTAGCAAGAGCCAGATTTATTCTCATTCTTTATAGATCGTAATTGAATTCAGGCAAATGTAGTCAACATTGCTTAAACTGTGGCTGCTAGAATGCCTGCTAGGATGTATTTAGCAGTAACAAGCTGCGCCAGCCCCCCTGGCGGGACCTTTAACCACCATCACATCAATGCATCTTTGCTCATCAAGTTTTACATCCCCATGGTGGCTGTTAGCACCAGTCCAGTGAGCAAGGGCTGCTTCATCATCCCTTCCACTGGGTACATTGCTTCCCTTGTCCTAGAATACTCTGACCGAGCCATCCCAGCTTGCCTGCTTGCAAACGCTTAGACTCAGGAGAGACAGCCGGTTTTATCTGATAGCCTATGAGCCCCAGGCCAGGCAAGCTTCATACTGCAGCCCATTGGAAATCCCTTTGATGTATTGTTGATTGGTGCAGAGGGGAGTGTAAAACATCATGTAAGGTAACATGAGCAGCTGTGATACTGCTGACCCAGTAATTCAGGGGTTGAGTCATGTGGGTTGATGCACATATAGCCCTGAAAAGTTAGTTCGGAGCCCTTTATCTCTCAGAGTAACACTCCCACCTCCTTTAATCCTTGCTAAGAATGTTTTTTAATTTCTAAATCTTCCCTTCTGGCTGGGGGGCGGGAGGGAGGGTCCCTTCTTGCTCTCCTTAAAGTCTTTAATCTTCTTCAGGGGTTGGCATTTTTGCTGGCCAGCGCTGAATTCCCTCCAGTGCCCATCAACACCAGTGAGTAATCATCTATGGAGACACAAGGTCCTCCCATCTTCACGGACTTGCGTGGGGTGCTGAACCCCTTCCAGTGTCTGGAAATTGTACGCAAGATCTCCTGGCAGAGCAATACAGAGCATCAGGTTATCTGACTGGGAGCTGAATTTAAATTCTGGATTGAAAGCTGTGAGGAGAACCGGGCCTTGTTGATAAGAAAATACATGGTAGAGGCTCTGGTTGACCCCATGAGCCAAGCCCCCTACTTTGCCAACAAATTTGTTGTCAGGGATGGCCTGTGAGCAGAGGGCGGGAAGATCTGCCTGCCCCCTAAAGTTGCAGCATCTTCAACAGTCACTCTGCCATCACCTCAATGGACCACCTCTCGCCCAGTGCACATCCACTGGGAGCTGCGTGGTTCGGTACCATGTGCGGGCATTTGAAGTAGACACCTCTTCTTCCAAGTGTGTAGCAGCTAGGCTCTCTTTCAGGGGACTCTCTCGTGGAGATGGACACTGTGATCAAATGGGACATTTCCATTCCGGGCCCCTGTGAGCTTAATTTGGGAGGCGGGCAGGGGGGATGGAGACAGGCTGTAGCTTCATCTGCAACTCTGCCTCATTTCACAAATAGATTGTGATGGATCTAGCTGAATGGAATTCATTCACTCATTGAGCTGGAAGGCAGGTTTCGGGGCGGGGGGAAGCTCACAGCAGCTCCTGAAATGAATTCCGGGCTTTGAAAAGATCTGCTGGGCTGAGACATTAAAAAGCTTTTGTCCACAGCCTTAACTGTTGCTCAAAACATGATTTCTCCTGGTTGGATAATGGCAAAAGGATGGGGGGAGGGGTATCCCCAGGACTACAAAGCCAGAGGGTTTAATAATGAGCATAGACTAACCCACCTTTATTGCCTCTGGGAGGTGGCTTAATAAGAAGGTTTACAGAGCATTCACTGTGGAGGGTGGGGAGCGGCTTGGTCTACACACAAACTTGCACCAGTTTAACTGAAGGTGTGTTCTTAAACCAAGTTTGTCTACAGACACTCTTATTTTGGTCTGAGGGGGGGCTTATTTTGGTTTAGCATAATCCATTTTTATAGGCGGCACCAGAATCCCCTTTTCCTCTTCCCCTGCCAGATGCAATAAGAATTCTGCTTTCTGCTCAGTACCGCGTGAAACATAGCTCATGGTTTTTGGGACACAGGCATTTAATAAGCCTTTGTGATAGCCTTGGAACTGGAGTCTCTGCAGGACATGAGGGCAGGTTGGTACAACATGATGGAGCATGTTCCTGGACAGGCTGGAATATGGAATAGTGATGACCAGAGCACATTTCTGAGTTCAGATCCATGTGGATAAGCACGCAGAAGTTCAGATGCTTGCCCAGACCTTCTCCAGACGACCCCTGCAGATTTGGGCTTGGAAAACCGCGTGGTTGCTGTTTGAGTCGAATCGGTACAAATGGAACAGCATTTTGCATTGTATTTCTGCCTCCCATCCAGGAAGTGCAGGGCTGCCATGAAAACATGAAATAAGAAGGAGGAAAAAATTGTCAATGGCAATCTTTCAGATGGCAAAGATTTGGGTTGACTCAGAGCTTCAATTTTTCGGTCCGGTTGGCCTTCCTTGCTTTAGGTGCCTATTTCTGAATGAGATATGTTTATAAAAGAAAGGTACTGTACCGTGCCAGTGAGCCAGTTTCTATTCTGTTACACAGGTGTGAATCCTAAAGGCTTGTCTGCACTACCGGCTAACCCGGCGCCACTGCAATCAATGCAGCAGCGTCAACTTAGGGCAGTGTTTCCCAAACTTGGGACGCTGCTTGTGTAGGGAAAGCCCATGGCGGGCCGGGCCCATTTGTTTACCTGCCGCATCCGCAGGTTCGGCCCGATCGCGGCTCCCACTGGCCGCAGTTCGCTGCTCCAGGCCAATGGGAGCTGCTGGAAGCAGCGCAGGCCGAGGGACATATTGGCAGCATCCAATGACTCAGTGGTTGTGAACTGACACCTTAATAGAAGGTCCATGGCTGGAAGCAGGTGTGGCGTCTCTTTAACCTGGCAGGACACTTCTTTCCATTCTATCTGGCAGCTGGCCAGGTTTCACTGTCAACGTTTTCTGTATTGCACTAAGTGTGGGTTGCTATTTTTACGCCTCTCATCTCAAGTACTATTTACTGGAAGATGTAATTAGTAACAAGTGTGTCTGTTTGGGGCCAGCCTAAGGGGACAGGAGTGCATTGCTGCAGCCAGAACATAGGGAGCTGTGAAAGTTTAGTATCGAAGGCAGATCCCCTAGTATGTGCAGGGACAGACCAGTGTCTACTGAACAGCACTAGTGGGATTGCAGGTTCGGAGCCTGCAAGGAAGAGTATTTATTCCAGAGATGTTGAGCTGTTTATGTGAAGTGACGTGAAAGTGGCATATATGCACCAAATCTTTAAAACTCCCATTAGAGCTGCTGCTGACATCTCCAAAAGGGAGGATTTATTCCCCTATCTTGTCTATTTGCCATCTCCCTTCTGTCTTTCTCAGCAAGATTTGTTTTCCCCATTGTGTCTGCTATTTTTGATTCCTGTCCAAATGTTTGATCCAGGTCTTCTTGAGTAATGGACTATGTGAATAATTGGAACTCACATTTAAAGGGCGCACATCATCCTAACCCATTTTACAGAGAGAGTGCGCGTGTGTGTGTGCGCACGTGTGTGTGTGAGCGTACACAGGAGGATCAGTTTCCCTAATGTGGAAATGCAGCCATGTCTGGTGTGCAATGGACAACTCTTTTAACAGTGCAACTGTTCAG